CAGTCTTGACTGTGTGGTTTACCAAGCTAGAGATTATTCATAAAGCCTTCTGACACCAGTGTGCAGGTCTATGATACCCGAGTTGGACGGCAGCTCTCGGCGGTCCGGAGGAAAGGCAGCCAGATTGGTGATGTCACCAGATGGAGTGGCTCCTGAAGTCTCAAAGAGCCGTAGCTCCCTTTGAGTTCAAATATCTTTGGCCATAAGATGCTACAGGGTCTGCTAGATAGACGTTCCACGTCTGAGGTGTTGTAGTGTCTGATATCACTTGCAAGCGTTGCAGAGAGGCTTTGATCTTGAGTCAAGAGAGGATGGTACTTGCTCACCCGGTCAGCCGAACCGGTAAGCGGCTGAGAACTGACTAGCCCAGAGCTAGCCTTCATTAACCAGTGTTTACAAATTCATACAAACCAGAATTTAACGAGTTTAAAGGCATTACCAAAACCCCTCAGAAGATCCCTCCTTCCCTCAGACAGCTTATTCTTAGTGAGAAGCAAAAATGTTAAACATTGATGATGATCTAGTGCTGTGCCCAGATCTTGTTGTGCCGTTGACCTGATTCTTCTGGGAGGCCGACCCCTCCTGTGTGGACTTCCTTCCCTTTTGTTAGTTTCATTATCTAGAGAGTTAAATCTGAAAACTTCTATCTAAACTTCTATCTTTTACATCAGTCCACCTGCTTTATAAGTGGCTGGATTACATCAAAAATCACAAATGATCACAGTTTGCTCTCCAGTCTTCCCTTTGATCTTATGAAAAGCTGCAGGGAGTAAGTGACTGAATCTCCTCAGTGGGTCGGTTCGCTAATGAGTCGAGTAGAGACACAAACAGCTGGTTTCTATGGTGATCAGTCAACAGGTTTTAATCCTCCGAGTTGGAGCAGCATCAGGTCAGAGTGGTTGATGTAATGAAATCTTTTCACAGCTGCATCCTGGGAAGTATTTGACGTTTCTGTCAGGGTGAACAGGTGAATGATGACCTCTGAGACCCTCTCCTGTCCCTCTGTCTCTCTAGTCTCCACCGAAGGGAGCGACGATTCCGTACCGACCCAGTCCAACTCCGGGAACGGTGCTGTTGGCAGGAAACCAGGTGAGCTGCTGGCAGGAAGTCAGTCACAGTCATCAGAGGGTTCATACCTACAGACAGAAACAGAGGAAAGACAGAACCCTTCATCCCGACAGACCCTTTACCACTTTTCCATAAGTGAAATGTTTAAGAGGTCGTGTTGGTGGATGAGGAATGAGGTAAAGCAGGCTCGAGTTTCCAGACAGAAATGAACACAACCTGCTTGTGTCTTAAATGCTTTCATTTTTCTCTGCATGAAATCAAAATATAGTTTGGATTTATGACAGCTTTTACCATTTATCTTTAGGTTTGGCAGAACATAAAGTACTATTTCTGGGTTTTTTTTTTTTTTGTTTTTGTTTTTGTTGCTTTTATCGTTTTTTACAGTGAAACGGTACAGCAAGACAGTTTTCCATGTAAATGGACAATAAAGTTTTATCTTATCTTATTCTGTTGAAACCAAAATCTCACAGAACTAAAGGAAAGTTCAGAAAACAGCTGTAGCCTCGAAAGGAAGCTGAGGTTCTGTGAAGCACAGTCGACCTCAGTTCCCAGACACAGCTGTAGCTCCAACAGAGCTACAAGAGGTTCCTACAGTTCAAAAGCACCTTCAGAGAAAGGTCACAGACACACAAATTGTTGACACAACTCACGTGCACAAGTACACACGTCTCACAAAAACACACCAGTGCTCTCTCTCACACCCTGACTCCCTCGCTAGATAGCTGCAAACTCTCTTGGTTGAAAAGGAGATCCCCTCCCACCCCCCACTCGTGGAGTTATGTTGTCATTGCCTGAGTATGTGCTTTTATGTTGAGGTGTTTTTCCTGCCAGCTGAACTCTGCCCTGTTGGGGACAGGAGGCTCATCCCTCCCCGCCCTTACGTCAGCCATTTATCTATAAAAGTGGAGACCCGTGACGGCTGCATGCCCACGGTCACGCTTCTTCCTGCGTATGTGTTTTATGTGCTGTATGTCGGATCTCGGAGTGGTTGTACTGAAACTACTTTTCGTTGGACCAAGATGCTGGTTCAGTGACAATTCTATTCTATTCTTTTCTCTGTGTGGCTGAAGATATTCGAGGCTTCAGACTTTGGGTCCCACCCGCTGTTCTCAATGGCCCAGGGAGGCATGGACCTGCAACAGGTGAGAGGGAGGGGCTTATTATAGCTGTCTGTAAGATGCACTGAAGCCACCCTTTAACCCAGAATCTCACCTGAGATGGACAGTTGGACTAAAATCAGCTGATTGATGATGCAGTCAGATAAAACAATAATAAAGTGCTTGTTACACAAAAGCAGGATCTTCTTTCATTGAGATTATAAAGCTGCTGATGACATAATATTTTGATCTGACTGGTTCATTTCCATCTGTTTCAGACATATGCACTACAGAGTCACTACAGCATTCCACACTCAGAGGTAGAAACAACCTTTCCTGATTGTTGTTGTTGTCGTCATGGAGCTTTTATCTCCCGTTTCTCTGTCAGCTAGCGAAGCTTCACCAGCTGTCGCTGCAGCAGCATAGTCTGGCATCCATGGGTCAGTCGGCCGCTCAGGTCCTACCTGCAGGTAAAACTCTGCCTCCACACCACCTGACTGACTCAAACTCTTCAGGGATTAATAACTCACTCAGGTGGGATTCAGGGAGGAGGAAACGCCAAACTGCAGAGGAAGCCAATGAAACATTTAGATGTGTGTGTTCTGTCAATGAAACTTCAGACTTTTCACCTCAAACACATTTAGTTAGAAACTTTATTTGCATTTGAAAGAAGGGAAAGGTGAGGATTTCACAAGATTATATTTTGTTAGTTGTTTTGTTACATCACTTTTAACAAACATCAAAATAGTCTCTACAACAAAATAAACAAAAATTGATGATCCGTAAAACTTCAGAAAAGAAAAAGTGACGGGAACAGAAATAAGACGACTGCAGTAAAGGAAGAATCTGGGATTGAGACGGGATGTGACACCAGCTCCTGCCTAATGTTTCTTTGTGATGGTGTACAGCACCTTGGGCTACTACTGTAGTAGTGGAAGGTGCTGGAGGAGGAGGATGCCCATCCTACACATGAAATGAAAAACCAGGACTAACATTTCTGTTCCTGTTTTCTGACCTATTGGCTCAGATGGAGCCCCTATAGGGGCCGGTATACCGGACCGGTTCTGGTGTTCAGAATATTCAGATCAGTCTGTTTTCTCTCTTCCAGCAGGAGTTGAAACCAATTCCCAAATGACATCTCAGGAGCTCCTCATCCCAAACGATGTGAGTCAAACTAAAAGGAACTGATTTCATGTTTACATGGTTCTACGTTGGTTCTGTCTGCTGATGGAAATACGGCCATGCAGCTGACCGAAGCGCTGCCCAGTTAAAAACAAGCAGCTCATTTAGAACATCTGAAAGTTAAACAGAAGAACTAAACAGGCAGTTCAACCATAAAACACATAAATACACGCAATACACAGAAAAGGAGAAACACCTTCAGGCTTCATAATAAAACCAGGTTTAAAAAAGAAAGGACTAAAAAAACAATAAAAACCTTCAAAATAAACAGAAGTAAAAATAAGAGGTAAGCCTGTAGATGTGGTACTGAAACCAGGTTTAAAAGTTCAAGTTAAGGAGAAAAAGTGTTTCTTCGGTCATGATTTAAAGGCTGGGATCGAGGCACCAGCCTAACGTATAATAGTTAAGTTACTGATGTAGGATTAAAATAAGAATAAACTCTGGGAAAGACTAAGTGCAAAAGGTGACCAAATAAAAACATGCTAATCAAATAAATATATAAAAATAATAGAATACTACAGATTTAATTTGGTGGTATTCTAAAAAGCTATTCTTATCTATTCCAAATTGGGAGACTATTCTATTAAATAGGATGAAGTCCAATCCTTCATATATGTATTCCAGGTATAGGATCCCTTTATTTTTCCAGTCCGGAAGGTTCATCATTTTATTATTTTGCAAAATGTCAGGATTATTCCAGATAGGTGTGCATCTGCATGGTACTAGTGAAGACTCTCATTTTTAGATACTCCCACCATGCTGTCATAGAGGTGCTGATACAAATACTTTTGAAGCCTTCATGTTTTCTTATGCTTGAGCTAATAAATGGTAAGTCTGAAAGCTCTATTGTATTGCAAAGTGTCTGTTCTATATCTAACCAGGACTCATCTAGTGGGTTATCTTGCAACCATCTTGGTATATATTGCAGCCTGTTGGCTAAGAAATAATGATAAAAGTTGGGTAGATCCAGTCCTCCTCTCTTTGGTCTTCTGAAGCATTTTTAAGCTAATTTGTGGAGGTTTATCCTGCCAAAGGAATTTGGTAATTCAGGAGTCCAGAGATATAAACCAGTCAGCACCAGTTTGGGATCATTGAAAATAAGTAATTTATTCTGGATAAGACCATCATTTAATTGTAGCAACCCTCCCCATGAGTGATATCGGTAAGGATTTCCATCTTGCAAGATCATCTTCCAATTTCTTTAAAAGTGGGATGTAGTTTTGTTTGGTTAGATCTGCTAACTTGGGAGAGATATTAATTCCCAGGTATGTGATATTCCCTGACTCCAATTGTATATTAAGTAAATTGACAAAAGAGAAATTAATTGGTAGAACTGTGGATTTTAACCAGTTTATAGAGTAATCTGAAACTCTTGAAAAAGAGTTTATCAGTTCTATTGCTTGGGAGAGAGAGGATTGAGAATTCTGGAGAAAGAGTAAAACATCATCTGCATAAAGACTGATCTTATGTTCTATTTTCTTACACTTTATCCCTTTAATACCTGTTGTTTGCCTAATTGCTGCTGCTAGTGGTTCGATAAAGATAGCAAACAGTGAGGGGGAGAGTGGGCATCCCTGCCTGATCCCCCTCTGAAGACAGAAGCTAGCTGATATTTGGTCGTTCGTCCTGACACGTGCTGTTGGTGAACTGTATAATGTTTGTAGCATGTTCATGAAGAAGTTCCCAAACCCAAATTCATGTAAAGTTGCAAATAAGAACTTCCAGTTAACTCTATCAAAAGCCTTTTCTGCATCTAGAGATAATATACTTGTTTCTGTGTTTCTACTGTAAGAGAAATCTATCAAATTAAGTAATCTATGTGAATTAGTGGATGACTGTCTACCCTTGATGAAATCAGTTTGGTCAGGGTGTATTATGAAGGGGGTTACCTTCTCTAATTTTTTTTGCCAGGGCTTTACAAATTATTTTGAGATCAACATTAATAAGGGAAATTGGGCGATAGCTGGTAGGAAATGCAGGGTCTTTGCCTGGTTTTAACAAGAGACTAATATTGGCTGAATTCATGTTTGGCTGTAATCTGCCACTCTCTTCGATTTCCCTCACCATTCTGAAAAATATTGGAGCCAGAATGATCCAGAATTCTTTGTAGAACTCTGCTGGAAACCCATCTGGACCTGGAGCTTTCCTATCAGGCATGGATTTAAGGGCTTCCTGGAGCTCCACTGATGTTAGTGGCGAGTCCAGGACTGTAACTTGGCTGTCTGATAATTTAGGAAGTGTTATCCTATCCAAGGGCGTCAGTTTGTTTTCAGAATTGCTGGGGACAATAACCATACACTTGAGTGGGGTTTAAAAATTGCTGGGGACAATAAAGTAGGCTAGCACAGGGGTCGGCGGCTCTTCCATCCATCTGATGCGGCTCTCTGTGCTTGTAAAATAATGAATGGATATTTAAATGAAAAGCTTTATATTTTACTGCATTAATTTTACATCTGTATGCCAATTCTAAATGTAAAGATTGTCAGCGTAAACCTGAACAGGTCCAACCCGGTCTTACTGTGAGACCGGGTTGACGCGTCACGCTTGTGCGTAATCATATGCGCTTCCTGAGCTGGAGGATGTCAGATTCTGGGCTTCTCCTCAGACAGGTTCCTGGATGCGTCGCCACATTGGAGACAGGAACAAGCGCTATTCAGCCAAAGTTTCATAATCAGGTGTGGCAGTGTGTCCTGTCACAGTGTCCCAATAGATAATGCGCCCTGGCTACTTGGCCAAGGGGTTGTCCCTTTGGCTGACTGGTTAGAGCGTATGACTCTCACCCGTGAGTCTGGGGATCGAATCCCGCCCGGGCCTTCATTTCTCCACCTTGCCACATATTGACGGATAAGCTCAAGGATGCTGGTTGTTTTGAAAGAATTACCCCGACGCACACTGATGCGCATGGATGAGCTGACATTTTAATCGTTGCACACATCGCAGAGGTAACTTGATTCCCATCAGAACATCAGAGCTTTATACTGGACACTGTGTTCAGCGCGGCTCGGAGCGCCTACGGTGGACAGTGGGCTGAAGATCTGAGGGGTTCGCAGCGCAGTGCAGAACCGCGGTGCGTGCGATAAGATTTCCTCCCACTGAAGCGTTCTGGAAACCCGGTCTCTCTGAGGGACGTGTCACTTGGAAAAATGTTCTTTTTATGAAATGATGAAACTTTGGCTGAACAGCGCTTGTTCCCGTCTCTAATATGGAGATGCATTACGCATCCAGTCTGAGGCAGAATAGCTCTTCAGCTCATAAAGCACCTGTAGAGACATTTGATTACGGACAAAGTTTATGTGGAGCAGAAGCGGTCGGGCCACGGCATGTGAAATGTTCCTAGCCTACATGAAGTGTAACATTAATATGTTACTGGACACGCTGGTCTGGTTGGTTAGACCAGTGTTTGAAGTGGAAAACACACACACACACACACCAATTAAAATAATGCTGATAGCGTGGACTAGAAGCCAGGTGATGGTTTAGTATTTAAATGATGATCAGGCTGCTGTAAAATGTAATCTCCATCCACATCCAGACAGAATTATCCTCTATTCTTTCTCTATTTGCTCTGCCCTTGTCTGGGCTGACGTCGCTGATGGTGCGCGGCGCGCCTAACTAGCGGCTGATGCACGTTTTATGCATTTGGAGAGGTGGGCTGGAAGCTTTGCTTTTACTGGAAGATGGTCCACTTAATGCACAGGTGTAGACTACATATTAATGACAAATGAATGAAAATTAAACTGGGAGTTTTTACTTCATATTTTAGAAATTAAAATGACGGGGGAACACATTTATGACGTCTTTTTAAACTAAATTTTCTAGCGCGACCTGCCTGCTTCACTTAAGTCACTGCTTATTAAGGTCCGTCCAAAATTACCGTGGCCCACCCAAAAATGAAAACCTGGCGCCACGCCTGTTATAAACCTCTGCAAATTGTTGTTCTTCACTTTATCAAACTCAGACTTTGTACAGCTAATGTCAAGATGTAAAATTATGAATTCAGTCGAGCTCTTCCGTCCCTCCATCTCCTGCTCTCCTTGAACCCGACATCGGCTGTCAGAAGTGGAGGTGAAGAAGGAGATGAGGCAAACAGAGTGAGTGCGACGTAAAGAAACCAGACTGGTGAGGAGGTGAACAAAACTGAAGGAAAAGTGTGGGTGTTGAATCCCCCACGGATGCGACGCCCATGCGAGCAACCGGTACTGGCTGCTGTCACCTGTTGTGGGCAGCTCTCTGCTGTCTGAGGGTAGGCCCCGCCCACAACGCTGCATCTGCTGTGGCTCCCAGTGTTTTCTTTACTGTGGGAAACGGGTAATAATGGCTCTTTGATGGGAACAGGTTGCCGACCCCTGGTATAAGATCTGAGCTGGTAAAACAAAAATCCTCATCAGCAGGCTTTTTTTAAAGTGGGGGGGACACAGCTGCCAATCACAAATTTTGCCGGGGACATGTCCCCGGCGTCCCCGGTTAAAATGACGCCTATGATCCTATCAAGGAACTCATTGATCTCGTTATCTGATGGGTGTATCTGTGGTGAGTACAAAGTTTGGTAGTCTCTGAAAGTGTTGTTTATGCTTTCAGGGTCATAAACTATATTCCCGGTTGAGTCTTTAACAGCAGATATGGTAGTTTTCTCTTTATTAATTTTTAACTGGCTAGCCAAAAATTTACCTGATTTATTGCTATGTTCAAAATTTTCTGTTTGTAGTCTTTGTGCTAAAAATTGTGTCTTTTTGTCTATAATTCCATGAAGTTCGAATTAAGCTTTACGTAATTTGCTCATTAACTCTTCTTCTGTGGATGCCTCTAAAGACTTGATGATTTCCTCTAACTCCTGAATACGTTTGTTTTCTGTTTTTTTCTTATGTGATGAGAAAGAGATTGTTTTACCTCTCATTGCTGCCTTTCCTGCCTCCCAGAGAATAGATGCTGATGTTCCAGGCAGGTCATTATGTTCTAAATATAAAGCCCACTCCTTTTAAAAAGTTCTATAAAACATCTATCTTTAAGCAGTGATGTATTAAACCTCCAGTTTTTCTTGGTGGGATTGTCTTCTTGTTTACCAGAGTTAAAGAAACCGGAGCATGGTCGCTAACAACTATGGGGTGTATCTCGGTGTCTGAAATGTCAGCCAACAATGAGCTGCTGACTAGAAAATAATCCAAACGTGAATGAGAGTGATGGACGTGTGAAAAAAAAGTATACTCTCTACGGTTAGGATGAAGAGATCGCCATGCATCACAAAGCCCATAATCACTCATGTACTGTTTAATATGTTAGTGGTTTGCCAATTGCACTGAATCCCAGCTGTACTGAGCCTGTCTGTTAAAGAGTTCATCCAAAAATTAAAATCGCCTCCAAGTATAAGTGGACAGTCCAAGTGTTCGGAGAGTACAGAGAAAAAATTATGAAAGAATGAAGGGTCATCAATATTTGGACAGTATATTCTGACAATGCATAAGCTTTGATTCTGTACAGATATTTTTAACATTATAGATCTACCCTCTGGAATATAATTTAATAAACTTTCTAAATTTTCTTCACTTACCTCCAGATTGATTTATACTTACCAGATTATTTTTTGCGTTGTCAGTAAATAAATTAGGCGAAAATGTGTCTTAATTGTTTGTGGGTGTTTGTTAACGAGCTGCCATCAGCTTCAAACGCTGCCGTGTATCCGGTGATCGGCTGTCAGCGCATGCTCCAAAAGCACCTGCTGTCTGGGTCTGGGTGGGGGCCTGGGGGCTCAGGGTGTTGGGGTGGCCGGCCCCGTGTGGAGATCTGGGCAGGGCCCTGGGGGTCGGGTTCTGACATGTATGCTGCCGGTAAGAAGGCAGGAACATGCAGCAGTGCCTGGCCCGGGGTTCAGGGGCCTCGGGTAGACCTTGGCTCCTCTGCTGTCCCATCACAGGGGAGGGGGAGGTCCAGGAGGGGGAGGACCCAACCTTACCTGGATGTCCTATGTCATATATTCTGGAAGTTGTGCAAATGCAAGGATGGGCATAGATATTCTGCTGGGGTGGGGCTGGGTTGGTGCCCTCGGACTCTGTGAGGCTCTGTAATGCTGCTGCTTTTGGGCCCTGGCAGGATGGGCTGGGGTCTCCATGCCCTGGGCGGTAATTTGACAACAGAGGTGCCTATTGGGGCCAGTGGGGGAGCTGGCTCCCTGGAGGGCTAAGCCCAACCAGCCGTTCCTCCCCATCCCCGCATATTTCTCTCCTCCTGCTCCCTCACATCATCACACAAACATGCACATAGGACCTTGGGGGGTGGACAAGTCAGGGAGTGCGGGTATGGACCCCATTTCCGCATTCCTGTGGCAACCTGCCCCCCAATTTTATTTGCACCTTATGCACTTCCACCGACGACATTCCACGCAAACACACACTTAGGGCCTTGGGAGTGAGCACAATCAATGGCATTTGGCAAGGGGATTTCTCAGCCTCCTCTTGAGTGCCAGTGTCCACTTCCAATTTTAAACTGCACTTAGACACCGAGGGCTGTGGGTGCAAGTGGGGTGCTGCAGTGACATCAGCTGGCATAGGCCAGACAATGCCCACACTGCTCGCTCACCACAGCCATGGAGTACACCTCATTAACACACAACACTATATTGGAGCAGGTGGAGGGAGACTAGGGGTCTTAGCACACCTCTGTTGTTGCTTGGCTTCCCAGGGCTGGAGGCTAGGAGGGAGATCTGGCCGTCTGGTTGGGGTCTGGGGTGGTGGGTTGCTGTGCTCAGCGTTGGGCTGGGGAGCCTGCTCATCAGCACCCCAACAGAAAGGGTCAAACTCTGGTAACCGGTGATGGTTGTACCCCATGTGCAGCAGTACTGGGACCAGAGTGAATAGGGTGTGTATGGGGAGCATGTGTGGATGCCCGTCGTGCATTTTTGTAAGTCTTTGATTGTATGTGCATGTGTGAGCATGAGAGAGAGAGTGTGTGACTGTGTTTATGTATGACTGTATATGTCAGGTGGGGCCTTTGGCTCCTCCCCTCTCCTGGGACTTCTTTTGATTATATAGATCTTCGTCTCCCCTTCCCCTGCCACACCTGGTGTGGGGTGTGGTACCTTGGTCTGCCTAAGTGTTCGTGGCTCCCGGGTCAGGGGGTTTAAGATTTTTGGCATCTGCCTGATCAGTCCCAATGGCAGCCTGGTGGGGTCTGGGCCCCTGGGCTCTGCTGGGTCCCCGGCGGGGGTGGTCACCCCTGGGTCCCGGGTCGCTGGGTCCTGGGCTCGGCCGGCTAGGGGGTGGGAGGCTGCGGGCGAGCCTGAGGGCTTGCCGCTGATGTCTCCCGGGACTCTGCCGGCTGCTGGTTGTGGCCCTCCGGGGCGATTCTCTGTGCCTCTCGAGGGGAGCGGGGGCCTTTCTGGTTGCAGTCTCCTTGAGGTTCCTGTGTTCTGGGGCAGCGCCTGGATCTCTGGGACTTGGAGCTCTCCCTGTCTCCTACGCATCTTTCGGGGGCAGATCTGTGGTCCCTCACACTCTCTGTTGGACGCTCCTATAGAGAAACCTTCCATAAGCAAGCACGTGTACACACACAGGTGCTCACATGGTGCTCTCAAAAGTATGGGCTTGGGCACGTTTGACACAAGTCTTAAGACTATGGTGGGCACTTAATGCACTGTGATTTATTATCGTGTGACTGTTCAGTTAAACAATGTTGATTATATATTTCTTCATCAAGTTGACGCAGTGATAGCTTGATCTTGTTGTATTGTTGTTGTGTCCCTTTTTTTTTTTTTTTTTTTTTTTCTTGTCTCTTTCTGCAGGTCTAGAAGCAGACTCTTGTTCATTATTGTTTATTTTTGTGGACCCCCCCCCCCCCCCCTCTCCCCACCTTTTGTCTTTTCCTTTCTCTTTCACCTCTGACTCTGTGTCTGGTTGGAATTACAAAGCATTCAAAAACAATAACAATAAAGTTTTAAGTATCAGGCGTGACATTAAAAGCAGACGCTTTGGTGCTCCACCTGAGAGTAAATCTGTAAGGCTTGTTACCAGCATTCAGACATCAATTCTGTTTGCTTCACAGCCAGACAGGACACGGTAAATAAAATAATAATAATAATAGAATACAAATAGCAGCAACACTGACGGGTGGACGAGCCATTAGAGAAAGTTTAACCCTTGAGCAGCCGAGCCCTTTTGATTAGAAGTGAACAAAATAATCCAAATGCTCTTTTAGGGTTTCTGTCTGGTCCTGAGTCCAGTCCAATCAGCCTGAAGAATATCCCGAAGGTTTCTGGTTACAGCATCTGTAGAGCCTCGCTAAATCACCATTGTGACAAAGACTAGGCTGGAGATCACCATGGCAACAGATGACAGGCTTAAACTACCATGAAGCCAGCCACTAGGGGGCAGCTGATGGGCTCTGGCCTGTTCACCTAAACCGTTCTGTTCTTAGTTCAGCTGTTGTCTTCAAACATCTGTTGATCCAGTGGTGGCGGTCGATAACCAGCAGCATCATAAAGTGTGTTTTCCATTAGCATTTGCAGCTGCAGCACATTAGTTTCTATTCCATTCTGTGACGGTGAGCTTCCTGTGACTCTGGAGGATGGGTGTGATTAAATGAGACTGTTTAGAGGTGAACCCGTTTCACCTTAGTGGTGATGACCTGGTAGTTCTAGCTGACACCCATCTCCCAGCCTGTGTTAGACCCACAGACACTCGTTATCGCAGCACGCTCCAGGAATAGTTCCTCCAGCCTGCTGGACCAGACCGCTCCCAGAGGCAGAGATGAAGAGAGCAAAGCCTAACTCCAGAGCAGAAGGTGATGGAGTCCAGCTGGATTATTTCAAAGTGAATGTAAGAAACCTGTCAGCTTGGGATGTCCTCCTAATCCAGGACAGAAGAAGACAGAGCTGCAGCGTTTTAGTGTTGTGATCTTCGGGCATCCTCCTCTGGTCTCTATGGTCACTTTTGAGTTGAGTTCCAACAAATATGATTTCAGAGCTTTTATCTTTTGACTTAAAATCTGAAGTTTTTCTGGTGGGCCACCAGAGTGAAGATGAGATACTGTAAGAAGCTGTGGAGGAACGTTTTTCTCCATCAGATCTGGGTTCCTGGCTGCCTGAACTGATGTTTGTCCAATGAGGACTGATGAGTTGGGGTTGCTATGCCACTGCTTGGCCTTATCTGTCTGTTGCTTTAGCAGCCTCTCGCTACTGCCGGCGCCGCCCATGTACTGCCATCTTGTGTAGCACCTCTCAGTCAGGAGACTTTAAAGTGCACCACGGTGAAGCACTGTGGTGCACTTTTCAAAAAGTAGTGGTGAACTTTCACCTCCAGAACAGTTTTAACCAAACGTAGCTATTAGCAGTTGCCTTCCTTTAAAAGGCCTGCCTGCATCCTGTGACAGTGGCAGCCTTGTTACTCTTCGTGATCTCCGTGCTTGTCCCTGTGGGGAATTTGGCAACTGACTAAACTTCATTAGGTGTGGAATATCCGTTTAATCTCCCAGCTGTCATTACTGATGAATTGAGTCATGAATATAATCCATCTCACTTTCAGATGACTCTAATCTTCATCGTCTCATCTTCCTCACAGCTGATTGGATCGATCATCGGTCGTCAGGGCACCAAGATAAATGAGATCCGGCAGTTCTCAGGAGCCCAGATCAAGATCGGTAGTCAGATCGACAGCAGCAGCGACCGACACGTCACCATCACCGGCACGCCAATCGCCATCAACCTGGCTCAGTATTTAATCACTTCCTGGTAAGCTGCAGAGAACTCGCAGGTTCTTCTGTTTCTACTGGAATGTTTTAAACTTTCATCGTATTCCAGGTAAATTTCACCCTTTCTGTTAGGAAACAATCAGGAGTTAGCTGTGGCTTCAAAAGCAGTTTTCTATGGGAGTAAAATAGCCAGGATTACAATACTGGAAGGTTCGGATGGAGTGATTTTCCACCGTGACGTCAACGATCAGCACCGACAGCATCCAGACATTAATAATATTAAATGTTTTAGTCCTTCAAAGTGCTGCATAACTGTTCAGCTTTTTTGGGGGGGGGGGGGGGGGGGGGGCATACAAATCTGTGTTGGGGGTGGGGGTGGGGGGTGGGGTACCTCAGAAACATCGATTTTAAAGCGGCCACAACACAGCTGATTGAATTCCTTCCAATCTGCTTCACCAGCAACTCCTCCGGTTTTACTAATGCCAGCTGTTTGGCACCACCTGCTGATACCTTCTCACAGAGAATTAACCACAACGTAGGGACGGGTACCTTTAACACTTGAATCGATACGGTACCAATTCCCGGTACCTACGAATCGATACCGGTACTGAACGGTACCGATTTTTGATACTTTTGAGTGTTTAATAATTATTTAAATCACTTTCTTAATTAAATATATATTATTTTTCCAACATTTGATAAACCTGTTTGTATTTTATCATCGTAATGTTGTACAAACTTCTTCAACATGAAAACCTTTAACAACATTTTCTAAATGAGGCAAAAACAAACCCAGCTCCACGTAGTCCTAATCCTCTTCTAATCCCTCTGGAATAACTCTGATGAGGAGATCATGTGTTATAAACTACAAATGAAACTAAAACAAACTTTGATACCACACAACAGTTTGTATTTTAATATTGTGGTGTTTCACAAACCAAACCAGCTCCACGTACTCCTGTTCCTCTCTTTTCTCCTCTGGACAATCTGTGAGATGGTGGGTCCTTGTAGTTTATAAACTGTGAGATGGTGGGTCCTTGTAGTTTTATAAACTGTTAGTCGGTACCATGGAATTTGGTCGGTGCCTTAAAAAAATACCGAATTAGGTACCCCTCCCTAACCACAAGTCCTGCCAGCAGCTCCACAGGGGGTTTCAGAGTACCCACCCTATCTGAAATGGCTTCGTGAAACGGAGACATGCACACGCTGCGAAGTTCTGGTAAAACTACCCGGCTGTAAAGATCGTGGAAATGGGCTTCTTGTTCCTGATCCTCCGAGGCTTCCAGGCTGTTTCTGTCTGAACTAACAGAATCTCTTCTGATCCTACAGGTTCTTCTCTAACCTCGCTGGGGTCCTGACCTCTTACCTTAATGAACTTTAAATCACAGTCATCATCTTGTTTATGTAGGTCCAAACATTAACCCATTAGCAGAAGTTCCTACGGACGACCTGTTAGCCTTGTTAGCATTGTTAGCCTTGCTCCTAGGCCTGGAATATACTTGCTGTTTAACCTCATGTTGGCGCGAGCAGCAGTTCACATACTTGCTGCTACACGGCACTGCACCACTAGGTGCTGGGTTTGTAGGTACAACCAAAACAAACATGGCGTCAATAAAAGAGCTCACAACGGAGTCACCATGGTGAGACGCCACCTACTGGTTACTCGTATATTGCAGCATTTGGTTGCGTTGCGCCGCGTTAATTTCGGGGGATGCGCACAAACAGTGCTTCAAATCAATGCAAGCAACGCATGGCAGCCATTTTAAACACGTGTTTGCATCATTGAACAGCAAGTATTGGTCTCGACACACGGGAGGCGACATCGCCTCTCCTCCATTCATTTTCATTGAGACATGCGCGACAAAGCGATAATCGCGGGTCTCCCTCCTACCAAGCGAAATGCGAAAAACGTGCGTGTGAAATTTTGCGCTCGTGCACATGTCGTGCACAGGCGACCCAGCGACGCGATCCCAGAAAGTTGAAACATTTTCAACTTTTCATTGCTGTCGCACGGACGAGGACCAATCAACGGAGGTTTCATTCACTGACCAATGAGCGGCCAGGATGCTCCGCACATCTCTGAGCAAACATGGAGGAGAAGTTGATTATTATTATGTTTTATAGTAAAATCAGAAGTAAGATTTCACATAACTCTAGCAGCACCTTGTGAAACATCATATCTACCACTTTATTAACTCTGAACCGCTTAAATAACCTTAATTCCCTCCAACCTGATACAGCCAATCAAAACAACGGAAGTTTCTATTTCGCCATGGAACAGAACGCGTAGACGGCTTTGCCGCTGGCCGCTGCTGCGGATCGCCTCCCGTGTGCCGGGTAATAAAAGCGACAGTGACAAATTTCGCTGATCGCGGTCGTTTGTCGCCTCCCATGCGTCGAGCCCATATGTCCCGGCAATTGTGCTGCACTTCCTGGTAGGCCAGGCCAGCTCTCTCACACCATCAGCAGCTCGTTTTCCTGTAGTTCCTTGATCGGCGGATGCTCTTCCTCCTGTTTTTTCATCATCATCATCATCATCAGCTGTGAGAAGCCTCCATGCTAACATGTCTGTGCTGGTTGTGTTTCCTCCTCCCTAAGCCCCCCCACCCCGAGCCAACACCCTCCATCCGTACAGTGAGCTCCCAGCAGTAATCACCAGTAAAACGCCCGTCTTCTCACTTTGGTTCCGTCACTTTTTCATTTTAACTCTCCAAAGTTTCCTGTTTTGGTTCACTTTTACTTTTGATCTTGTTTTTTTAACATGTCTTTTATTTAACCCTCCAACCCTTCTCCATCCCAATCCCCTCCCCCGACCCCTGTCCTTCCTTCACCCTAACCTTCCCCCTTCACCTCCTCCCTCCAGTTTAGAGACAGCCAAATCCACCGCTCAGTCCTCCTCCATGCCGTCTCCTGTTGACCTGACCATGAGCTTCACCCAGCCCGCCCCCCCTGCCTCCGCCTCGTCCTCCTCCTCCTCCCCCCTGGCAGCGATGGGCGCTGCACTGCCCCATGCTCCAATCCTGGGTGCCCCCTACGCTCTCCCCCTCTCCAGCCTCCTGGGAGTGAAATCCATCCCCTACCTGGCACTTTCCACCCCCTCAGCAGCTGCGGCGACAGCCGCCACCATCGGAGCACCGCTGCTACCTGCCTCGGCGGCAACGGCGGCAGTTCCAGCTCAAGCGGCGGCAGCACTGGCGTCCTACACAGCCAAGATCTCCTCTTCTGCCAACGGGATGAAGAAGCCTGAGAGGCAGAAGTTTTCTCCGTACTGACGCCAGAGGAGAACTGCGTCGAGGTAAATCCAGATGTGCAGGTGGGAACCCTGAAACAAACGCCGGTACCTTCAGGGACGGATGAGACCAGCAACAATAAAAATTAAAAATCAATCTTTGATGGAAATTGGCCTTTAATCCGTATGATTGGTTCAACCAGCAGATCGCAGATCAGATTCACCAACAAAAGCACCATAGCGGTGGCGTTTGCTCCATCCGTTACGCCCATGTGCTCTAAAACCCTCACACGTCTTTGTGTTAGCTGAGGCGAACATCTGGAATCAGGCTGATTCCAGATGTTCGCCTCAGCTATAGATGCTCCTCCAGTGGCTCTTCCTTTCAGCTGAAGCCGGTTGTTTGTGTGTCTGGTCTGTTCCTGCAGCTCCATCCTGGTTGGAGTCCAGACGTCGGCGCTGGAGGTCCCTTGGGCCACGCAGCCTGTAAAAGCCATAGAGACTCTTCCTGTCCTCGTCTTCGTCCTGCTCTCTATCCTGTTCTTTACTCGTATGTTATTAACCAATAGTCAGCGTTTCTGTACTGACCTCTCCTCTCTGCTCCTGTTTGCAGTTTTTCCTGATAAAATGTGCTTTTAAATTATTTTTATGTATTTAAAGGAGTTTATAATTTTCAGTTTTCATTCCCGTGTCATCGCTGTAGCGCTAGCGTAGCCCTCTCACCTGTTAACCACACATTCACACAGAACATTCTAGATTACAGCAGAACCTTCTGACCTCCATCAGGAAGCTACTCAACAGACATGAGGGTCAGACACAAACGTCACCATGACAACAGGACCCAGAACCTTTGTGCTGGATGAAATCTGATTTAGAGCTTCTAAATGTTCCCTAGGGTTAAACTCGTCTGAATTTCCTCTAAAAACGCGACATTATTATGACATTTAATTGAAAACACACCAGAAGACTTCTGATGACTCCTGAACGCATCATTGGTGGGTTCTAGCAGCGGTCTGTTCCTGCTGGAGGAGAACCGAGTCAGAAACCAGATGGGTCCTGGTGGTTCTGTGGAGCTCCGTCCTCTCAGTCGTTTTTAGTTTTTGTCTGAACTAAAGCAGTTTGCTGCGGCTGCACGTCGCTTTACCTCACTCACACACACACACACACACACACACCTGTCTTTCTATCATAGTGAGGACCCTATATGGACTTCCATTCGTTTTTGTGACTCCACCATGCCTAACCCTAACTAAAACTTAATTCACACCAGACTTCTAAAGTTAACCAGTAGAGCTCTGCGACATTGTCCCTAAGTGAGGACATTGGTAGCAAAATGTCCTCGCTTTGATGTATAGACTGGTACACACACACACACACACACACACACACGACCACAGAGATCTTTGTGCACTCAGAGCAATACCGAGCCGATCAGTAGCTCCACGTCACAGAAAAACTGAAACAGTTAACTTGATGTGTTTATTATTGAAGACGATGTGCTTCACTTGTTTCGACGAAGCCATACGACCCCGTTGGTGACCTGTTTCTTTTGTCTTCCATCACTCTTTTGGTCGTGTTCCATGTTCATGCATGAGTCTGTTTCTGATGATCGTCTATGCAAAACTCACCTGGATGACGTGCAGCAGGTGGAGACTGCGACCCGCGGAGACTCGGGCCTGCGACGCGTCCACCCTGATGATGATGATGATGATGATTAGCTCTGTAGTGCTGCTGCAGAGAGCAACCCTAACCCCACACACTCGGGTAGATCTGCATCAGAACAACTGATCAACCCTTTATCACTAGACTCATGTTAACTCAGTAACCATCAACAATTAGGACAAACATGTTTAAGTCAGTGAACTCACCACCATCACCCCGGTTACAGACGTGTACTCTTTAATCATCATGTGACCAAAAACAGCTCCAGCTGCTAGACCCAGACTATGGCATCTCATCATCCACCGGCGGCCCCCGACCAACACTCTAACCTGTTTGATGAAGAATGGCGCCACAGCAGAGGCAGCGTTGCAGAGCCTTTGGTCATTCATAAGTGGTCAGCTTATGGCGGTCATGTGGTGCCGTCAAGTTTTTCTCACAAAGTTGAAGCGACAGCGAGATAGGAGGGGGGGGGGGGGGGGGGGGGGTTCGACACGCTGTCACGAGCATCCTTTAGCTTAGACCAAGTGTTCCCAGCAGACATCGTGAGAGCCGGGAGCTCTTCTAAGATAAAGGTCAAGTATTACTTTAATACTTTAATAATATTTAAAACAGCTTTGTTTTCCATCTAAACCGTTCTGCTTGTAGTTCACCCCTGGGTCACATCAGATGCAGAAGTGCGACGATGAGCTGCGAAGCGCCGTGGAACCAAGAGCGCTTCTTTTTGGCGCCCTTCTTAACCTCCGGTCTCGATCACATCAGCTATGGAGCGCGATGTAGGCTCACGCCTTGCAACAGTCGTTTGGGCGGGGCTATATTTTGTGGGCGAGCCTGATTTTGCCTGATGTGAACAGAGGAGCAGTGGGCAAACTTTGAGAGCAATCCACTTTGTGGCGCTTCCCAGCTGATGTGATCCTGGCTTTAGTTGTGTTTGGAGAACGTAGACGAGTATTGATATTTGGGACATGCCTTGTGCTGCTAAACTTCAAAGTTCCCAATTGGGGGACGTTAGGGCCCAAAGGCCATGTGGAAAGGTCTGGAAAGGTCACCAGTTGGGGTTCACTGGCTTAAATACCTAAACTTCCTCCTTTAATGAGCCGTTCCAGAAGGTGTTGTTGGTCCATCGCTGTCCTTGTGACCCAAGCTTCAGCTTTAGCGCCAAAGCTCTCGGGGGACACTCCAACCGTGATCATGACATCATCCTCTTTGGCACAAAGGCCTGATCTTCTGATGAAGTGAATCTAAACGAATAACAAGATTTTAGTTATAAACCGTTGTGGTTGTCTTCGGGGTGAACGTGATGCAGCCTGCTGTCTCTCTCTCTCTCTCTCTCTCTCTCTCTCACTCTCACTCTCACTCTCACTCTCACTCTCTCTCTCTCACACACACACACGCACACACAGAGACACACACACACACACACACACACACGCACACACAGAGACACACACACACACACAGACAATTGCTGAGAGTCATAATCAATATTGTATTGCACTGAAACATGGAAAGTCCATCATGATGATATTCTGAGTGAAGTAAGACCTCCATGTCTTTATTACTTCTTCTTGTGTGTGTGTGTGTGGGGGGGGGGGGGGGGGGGGTCCTTTGTGACTGTTTCCACTCACATGTTCTAATAAATTAACACTGAACCAATCAGATGCTTTGTTTCTGTTAATGTATGCTTTTAATGGAAATGACATAGAAACATGAAACAACCGATGCTTCGGGTCCGCTGTGCTTCAAACCTTCTGTTGGCGACGTGAATCACGTTCTTCATAAACAGTTTAGACGACCACGCTGACATTTAAATGGTTAAGATGAACTCATGTTTGTTGTGTCCCGCAGAGCTGAGGAGCTGATGAAGACGTTAGGTGTTAGGGTTTCTGCTACAGTGGGATGTGGAGTTTGCTGGTTGTTGGGAGTGGAAATCATCACACGGTGATGTTGGAGATGTTGGAGAGGTGCAACGGAGGCTGGGGTTTACAGAAAGCTTCAGTTGTTTAACACAGTTAGGCAGAAATGTAGGCGCCACATAAAAGAAATGAACTGAATTTTTAGTAGTTCCTCCCTCAGCAGCAACAACAACCTCTAAACACTTCCTAAATCTTCCAATGAGAATCTGGATTCTGGCTGAAGGTCTTCTGGACCGTTCGTCTTTACGGAACTTCTCCAGTTCATCCAGGTCTGATGCTTCTGAGCATGGACAGCTCTCTAACTCACACCACAGATGTTCAATAATATTTAGGTCTGGGGACTGAGATGGCCGTTCCAGAACGTTCTACTTGTTCTTCTGCATGAACACCTGAGTGGATGTTGGGCAGGGTTTCGGGTCCAGCCCCGGTGCAGCTTCATCTTTGTCCCTGATTCCTGGACATTGGTCTCCAGAATCTGCTGATACTGAGTGGACACCATGTGTCCCTCATCTTTAACAAGATTCCCAGTCCCTGCACCGGCCACAGAGCCCACAGCGTGATGGAACCACCACCGTGTTTTACTGTAGGTAGCAGGTGTGATTCTTGGAAGGCTGTGATCCCTTGTTCTGCACAAATAACTCCATTTTAGTTTCAGCAGTCCACAGCACCTTGTTAATGAAGCTGGCTAGTCCAGATGTGCTCTAGCAGACCTCCAGCTGCTCTGTTTGAGCTGTGGGTGGAGAAAAGGCTTCCTCTGCATCACTCTCACATACAGCTTCTCCTTGTGGAGCTGAACGATCTGCAGCCAGATGATGCTGTAGGTCCTGGTGCTGGTCTGTGGGTGGACTCTGACTGTTCTCACCGTTCTTCTCTTCTTTTCTTGGTCTGCCACTTGGAGCCGTAACTTGAACTGTGCCTGTGGTCTTCCACTTCCTCAACATGTTCCTAACTGTGGAACCAGACAGCTGAGATCTGAGACAGCTTTCTGCACCCTTCCCTAAACCAAGATGGAGAACAGTCTTTGTTTTCAGCTCGTGTGGGAGATGTTTGAGACCCCGTGTTGCTGCTCTTTAGAGAACATTCAAAGAGGAGGGAAACTTGCAGCTGGCCCCTTGGATGCTCTTTCTTCTGACGGGATTCAGCTGTGTATGGAGGTCAGGGCTCACTGAGCTTACCAAACCCATTTAGTTTTAATAATTAGTTCTAAAGGTTTTGGGGTCAATAAAATGACAACAGTGTCCAAATGTGTTTAAACAGCTGATGCTTTCTGTAGATCCTGTAAACTTGTTTCACTTCTCCAGCATCACTGTGTGTGTCTCCTATATGAGATGTTCCACTGAAATGTTTGTCATCGTAACAACCCACGATTTATACAGGAAAATCCTGAAGATTAACAAGGCTGCCCAAACCTCCACATCCCACTGTTCCTGATGGACTTCAGCTCAGACCTCTACTGCCCCCTGGTGTTCACACACTGCGTGTGCAGGTCCTTCCATCTCCCAGTCCAGGGCCGTTCTGTTATTCCTGAAACACGGAGAGACTCAGGGAGACTGGTGTAAACATGCATGTTAGGAAAGTTTTTTGGACCACAAAATAATGAAAACAGCAGCAGGTGTGATGATTTGGGTCTGTGCATCTTAGAGAGCCAGTAAGTAGTTATGTTCTGGAGGAGGCGGAGAATCCACAGCAGGGATCAGGGTTATAGAAGAGAATTGATAACAAGCAGATGCTCTCTGGATGACTGTCAGAACATTGAAGCAGAGGTATAATGGGTACATGAACAAATCAAACTAAAGGACAACATTTCTTACTTTGTTTATTAAATACAGAGAATTAGTAAATGTAATATTTTTGGTCGTTCTGAAGATTTTTATGATTTATTTTTGACAGCTGAAAAAGAACAGCTGTTGCTGAAATGTGATTAAAGCCTAACCTTTAAGAAAAGTATGTTGTTGCTTTTAAACTGTGGTTTAACAGGAACACACCAAACAAAACACAACACTTTGTTTTTGCTCCCGTTTCTCATGAGCTGAACTCAAACATCCCTCTCTCAAAGGTTGTGGCATTGTGCTGTTTGATCAACCTGCACATGTCAGGGTGTCCTTTTGTTGTGGGCAGGCTAAGGCACACCTGTACATTATTTATGCTGTCATCAGCCCCTTGATGTGCCACACCTGTGAGGTGGGATGGGTTATCTTGATAAAGGAAAAGTGCTCACTAACACACATGTAGACACATTTCAGAACAACATCTGAGAGTTGTGGCTGTTTTGTGTTTGTAGACAAAGTTTCAGATGTTTGCAAAAACAAAAGTGTTGCATTTTGTTCGATGTATTTCTGTTAAACCACAGTTTAGAAGCAACAAAGAGGCGAGCTGGATCTGGCAGGAGCCTACCTGGTGTAGGTGTTTCACTCACCTTCAGCTGATGCTGGAGTCGTCTGCTTTAAGGCTTCGTTTTGTTTCATCCGTCTGAAACAAACAGGTGAGTTTCTCTCACATGTGCAGATAAAACCAGGTGTTTCCTCAGCTCGACGAATTGCTGCAAGGGTCACTTCCACTGGACCGCACCGATAGAGCAACAGCGCTTGGACCTGCACACCCATGTTTACTAGGAGGCTGAATCAACAATCTCACCCCTTTGTAATTTCTACTTTACCTAGCAACAGCGTAATTGATCCAAGTGAAAATAGGATTCTTTATTGATAACTGAAAACAGACGTCAACAGCCAGGGAAGCCATGGGGGTAAAGGTAGGATGGTTCTAAGGGCCCCTGACTGACAGGGCCTCCATAATATGTGATAATGATGGTTTCTCACGGGGCCCCAAATCCCTGGCAGCACCTGTGGACAGATCTGTTACAGGTAAAACTTCTATGTATGGACTTCCATAAAAACAAGCAGTAGTCAGAGATTTCTGAAAATCCCTAAAAGGCCAACGTGGCTGTTTCAACGTCTATTAGGCAGACTGGACAGAGCAGAGAAACATCTACAGCAGGGCGGGGGCTCCTGCTCCACCGGGAGCTGCTGTCCTGCATGTTTTTGTTGTTTCCCTGATGCAACTCGAATTTTTGTCAGCAGGTGGGTAACAGGTTTCTGCCCTCGAGGACCAGGGTTCCCAACCCTGATCTGGAACCTGCTGGATGGTCCCACTAGGACCAGGACTGGGTAGCCCTGGTTTAAGCTAAATATCAAGACTGACTAAATAAAGGATCGGTTCACGTAAATAGTCCGATTATTAAAATTAAACAAGCAAACTAAATAGTTACTCTTTCTGGAGTATTTATCTTATCCGATGGCACCATCTAGTGGCTGGCAAGCATATCACACAAAAACTTTGGTGCTCTGTTTTTTTAAGATGGCAACTTCACGTTTCTGTTTATAAATGTGCTTCTGTAGCGACAAACAGCTAAAACACGTTGTTTTACGAGTATTATTCTCATGTCATGCTGTGTTCTCATATTTATATTTTACAGACTTGCTTATCAACTCTGCATCCTCTGGTCGGCGCTCAGTTTCCTATTGCACGGAGCTCTGCGGGGCAGGAGCCGTGGTTAGCAATAAAAACACTTAAATGATATGACAGTACATGATGACATCATCATGTTTACGGATTTCTGAAAGGTGAAACCTCCAGAAAGCTACGTTAAGCGACACAGCGGTTTGTAGAAGCTGAGGTCACCGGTGTGGCATACACACACCGAGTTTAACGCAATTCAAGCAAAACTAAAATAAAACCGGACTTGTTTGGTTTAAATGTCTAAAACGTTAAAACAATGTGGTTCTTTATTTGTCGTTCTTGTGAGGATCTTCATGATGTTATCTTGCGTTACAAGCAGAAGCACCGATGTTTAGTTCCCACTCATCTAGCTAGTAAACTCTTATTCTGACGTCTGGCTCTTCTTCAACTTCACTATTTGAGTTTTCATATTTAATTAAGTTCCTGAACATTAAACTATTAGTTTGAGCGTGGGGGCGGTGGGTGAATCTAGTCTTGTTTTTATTTACATTTGAATCTAGAGAAAGTTAAACTATCAAGTGTTTGAGTTGAAGCTAAATGGCTACAAAAGCTCGGTGAGCATGTAAGCCGCATTGATGTGTGTAACCAACAGATCAGCGTTAACGGCAGGGGCGGCTGGTCCATAGGGGCCATGCCCTCCCAAGAAAAAAGGAGGGTTTTTTTTTCATGTGCTTCTCATCATTGCTGTTCAGGTCCACCATTGTGGTTTGCTTGTCTGTGTTGTCCAACCAGGTTGAGCCCTCCCTGCTGGGAGTTCCACCCTTATGGGGCGATAGGGGGCGATCCCTCATCGAAAGTAATGTAAATGCTTTCCCTGACTTCCCGGAGCAACAACACAGCTTCTAGTGGCTGGCGGGACGTCTCCCTATATGCCTACGTCACGCCCCAATACAGGTAGCGTTAAGGGCACGCACAGAGCAGCAAACCATTTCCATCATGACGAGCTGCCGGAGCAACACTGTTGTCTCTTTGAAAGAGTTTTTATTTATTCGTCGTACCAGCGCGGATGAAAGGGCAACAAAACTGTTAGGACCACCAAGACCAGATCTCAACATCAAACAAGCAGCAGTTAAAGGCGGGAAATCCTACAATTGAGGATTTTCGAGAAGGTGGTATGACCAGACGAGCTGGCTCGCGGGCTGTGAGACAGCAGGGTCGCTGTTCTGCTTCCCATTCCTGCTGTTCAACCAAGATGGCGCCACGACGGCCCACAGCTCGTGGACGACCACAGGAGTCACCGACATACACCATCTGGCTGAGAAGGTGAAGAGACACAAAGCGTCAAAGATCCACATGGACAGCTGCTTCAAGTTTTCTACGTTCGGACGAGTTACGCCGGGGACACACCGGCCGCCAAAGCGCTGCGAAACGGGGACCGCCTTCATTCGGCGCCCTTGTTATCCTATTCTATAGACCACATGGGCCACCGAAGCGCCGCAAAGCGCTGCGCGCCGGCGCTCCAGCCCGCGCCGTGCAGCGATCGTTTCGGCGTCTGCTCTATTTTTTTCGCGAGCCGCGGGTGAACCGCGTCAATTCTGGCAGGAAGTCAAACCTAGACATAAGAGGCAGGCTGGTAAATTTAACAAAATAAAGCATTTCAAAATACAACTCCGCGATAGTCAAATGTGTTCGTAAACAGACACTGCATAAAAACCACACACACACACACACAGTTCGCACACACACACGCGTGTGTGTGTGTGTGTGTGTGTGTGTGTGTGTGTGTGTGTGTGTGTGTGTGTGTGTGTGTGTGTGTGTGTGTGTGTGTGTGTGTGTGTGTGTGTGTGTGTGTGTGTGTGTGTGACCACGTGAAGGGGGTGTGGTTTTGGGTGTCTTTAAACCAGAGCAAACAGGACAGAGGCACACCAAGCCCCCACAATGCGGCTCAAAAATTGAGGCCACCCCAAAGTACCAAAAATTGCAGTTCCACCCTCATCCGCTGGGGGCTGGTGTCAGGAGGGAGCAAATCCTCATTGACTCCCATGTTAAAAATACCAATTTCACAGCAGAAATAAACATGTTTACAGCCTGGTACCAAAACATGTTTTTGGTTATTATTATTTGTGCAATTGTTGTACAAAATGACTTGCTGTGGTATTAATTGTACTAATAGAGCGTCCAAGGAGTCCCCACTTCATATTTTCGGTAAGTAAAATTATATTTATGTATTTAGGTCACTGCCGAGCTGAGCTTAGATTTTAACATGTACTGTTTAAACATGAAATTTAAATGTAATAGGGTAAAACCCAGTGCATTTAGCATAATGCTGCACTTTAGAAAATGGGTTGAAATATAACATGTTGGTGGAGCTGGGTTCCGACTGTCGGCTTGTGCAGCTCTCGGGAGACCGATGTTTTCCACCCGTTCTCCCCTCCCCGCAGCTCGGCGCATCTCTGTCTGATCGCGGCTTCTGTCTGCTGCGCGGGCTGCCGGCTTTCAGCAGCTTTCGGGAGACCTGTGTTCCACCCGGTTTTACCCAGCGGTCAGCCCGGCGTATCTCTGACTCAGAAGCTCTGGTGTTGTGCACAGTTAACTCCGGTTGTAGCTAGGTTGCTACCTCCGTTAGCTTAGCGCCCACGTCCACGTTAGCTTTGGGTTAGCTTCAGGTTAGCTTGTAGCTAGTTCGACCGGGTGTTGTCAGTTGATCCCACCCTCAGCTCCACCTCTCTTCCCTTTTGTGGAATTGTCTGGGCTTGACGGAACCTGTGACGATCAAAATGGCGGTGGTGGCCACCTCCCATTTGGCCTCAAAAACGCGTTATTGGAGCTATGAAAATGAATTGTCCAGTATATATGTCGATGGTTCACACACGTACAAACACACACACAAACAGCAAGGGGGAGGGGGGTGTAGAGGAAAAGAGCAGAGAAAAGCAAAAGGTGCTCGTGCATTTCCAAAATGCTCATTATGTGCATTGCTATGCACCAGCTCGATCTGATTATGCAGCAAGCAACCTCAACCATCCCTGCCATGAATTTTTATTCTGTTCCGAGTGGTATAGCCAGCTTTTTTGTCCGCTCGCCCAAACGCACCAGCATTCTGGATGAGGTGGTCGCTAGAAGGCTGCCCAGAGCTTCAGCCACAAGATGGAACTTTAACAGCAGAACTGTCAACACCGTGCATGAGCACTGGGAAGACCTCATTCAGTGTTTTGAAACCGTCAACTCATCTGGTTCTTTTGACGGCAACACAATGAGAGAGGCATGTGGGTTTCTCAGGATGCTGCAGGAAGAGGATTTCCAGTTTTTTGTTGTTGTTTTTTTTTTTGCAGCTGTTTAGTAAAATTATGCCTCACGTGGACATCCTGTACAAGAAATTGCAGAAGGACATCGATGCAGTCTTCATCAAGCACGCCCTCCAGATCTTCATGAGCAGTGTTGAGGCAAGAAGGTAAAATAATAATTATTATTATTTGACATGTGTATTGTTTAAAAGCAAGGTGTGGTGTGTGGACTACAAAAAGGTAATAAGTGATCCAACCTAAATAAATACTACGAATTTGTTCTTTTAATAATTTAACTTGGACAAACAATTCAATTTCTTGTAACCTATTAACGCAATTAATTGAAGTTGGATCACCGATTCCCCATTACAATGTGAGGCAAGTGAATGGAAACCACAGACTGACCTTTGTACTCGACCTTTAGCCGATCGACAGGTGCACCCCTAGTTGTTTACAAACTGAGCTTTCTACCTTTGAGAGCTGGTAAATTTTTACTTAGGGGTGGAATAGCCCTTTAAACTAACCAGAATTAAAACCAAAGCACTAAATCAGCATTTTACCTGTCACATGATTGTCATATCAGACAGCCATGTGACATTTACAAAACACTTCAAAGTTATTATATTATAAGCAAACTTTCCATGATGCTGTTTCACACTCACATCAGAGAAATTTTATTTTTTATGCATAAACCTTCTTAGTGTTGTCATGTTCTTACGTCTAATTTTTTGTTTGCTCTGACATTTGGATTTACTAACAGGCATTGTTGGTCTTCCCGCAGGCAGTCATCTCAACAGCAGCAGCAGGAGGCCACAGAAACCACCACCAGCAGGAGAACGGCCTTGGGAGAGGATGAGAAGCAGAGGTTGTGGGAGAAGATCTGCGGCACCATCCTGGCTCACACCAGACAGAGGTTCTCCTTCACCAACCACCTGGTCAGTGCCACACTGCTGCAAGCAGAAATGTTTGAGCAGCGCTGCCACACATTTCCCACGGGTGCCCTGAATGCCACGGTGGAGGCGAACCCCATGCTCAACAAGAACCAACTGAAGACAGAACTATCTCTGGTCTATGAGAACCCCGAGTTCAGGAGCTGCTGCGGTGCGCTGGCGTTGTATCAGCTTCTCATGAGATACAACCTCCAGGACACGTTTTCTGGGATTGTCGCTTTGATGAACATCCTCATCACAACCCCAATGACGACAGCTGAGGCTGAGAGCTGCTTCTCAACTCTCAAAAGAATTAAGACATCTCTGAGAAATTCGATGGACCAGAAACGCCTTAATGCGCTGGCCATGCTGTCCATAGAGAGGGGGCTAGTCTGGTCCATGCCTGACTTCAATGAGGTCATCGATCACTTTGCTGCTTTGAAAGACAGACGAGCAAAGTTTCATTACAAATGAACAGGTTCCATATCTTTGCTTGTGGCATGAACTACTCGCTGTGAAACTTTTATTCTTTTACTCAAAATGCAACAAACCAGATTGTGAAAACTTAAAAATGATTGATGAAACAATTCACAGAACCCCATTTTCTTTAATAAAAATGTAGATAGCTGATTTATTGCTGATTGTTTTTTAAAAATACTTTATTCTGTTTGTTGTGTTCAACTTGTTCATCGATCATACATTTTATACCTACAGGCCTGTATTCATGATAAATTGTATATTAGTTTTCACATTTGATCTAAATATGACTATTGCATCACAGCATTAAACATTTTTACCTTGAATTTGGTTGCTGTCTTACACTTAAGGTAATACTTTCTGATTTACTTACTTTACTGTAATATTTGAGTATTCACTTGCTGAAGGTCCAAAATAATCGCATTACTTAGAACAACTATAGGCTGACTTAGATAATAGGTTTGTAGAGCCATATGAGGAAATTAAAATTTAGTTAAACAGGTAGATTTGTCGTCATGTATCGCTCCCTCTGAGATGTTTCTCAGGAGCTGCCACTGGTTAACGGCTGTGAATGAAACACACACGCTTTAGAAACCACATATTTAATAAACGGGTGTGTGAGGAACAATCAGCAGCTCAGCTGTAAACTGGAGAAAACACAGAGGACTGCTTCAGACAGCACCAAGAGCAGAAGTCGGGTCGGACTTATTCACCAACTTCTGATAAAAACAATGGATTCCTTCTCTGAGGTTTGTTGGCACAAAAATGCAGAAAATCTGAACAGGAATGTGGGTCACTTCTGAAGAAATTCATTCAAAAGGTCACTTTTAGCATTGTTACCTTTAAAAACCATGAGGGGACAGTCCCATTGTATTAAGTTAATTAAAACAACGTTAACGAGGACCTGCTGCCGCTCCTGTTAACAACAGGTTAATTAAAACAACGTTGAATATTTTAGTTTTTGCTCCTGTTTCGCTGTAATTTTCTGCACGTTTGTGGGTCAGACTACGTTCTGGGTTGGTCTGGCTCCGCGGCGCTGAGCCGAAGAGGAACAAAAACAACGAAGGGATGAAGTCAGGAAGGTTTAGAAGGGCGGACCAAACCATCCCTCCAGGGAAGTGTCTGCATGCAACACCTGGGTGGGGGGTACAGTACAAACACCTGCGTGTCACGTTACCATGTGATTAAAAACAAATAAAGTCAGAAGCAGAGAAACTGTCCTGCTGGGTTTAGTGTCTTTTTTTTTTTTTTTTTACAGCTTAAGTATAAAAGCAGGAGGACCTGCTGTCGCTCCTGTGAGTGTTTTTAAAATCCTCCTCCTTCTCCCGCCAACCCCACCGGCTCACAGGGAGAAGCGGAGTGACGTGTGTAGTGTGGCTGGAATCCAGAATCCTAAAAGGTTTCAAACCAGGAAGTGTTGGTTCTGTACATCAGTTAGTGTCGTTAACGATCACGATCACCATGTGCTCCTCCTCCAGATTACCCACAGTCCTCTTGGCTGTCTGCAGAAACTGCTGAGAGAACTCTCCTGGGGGGAAGGCATACAGCATGGCGCCCGGCCCACCCTCCTTGGCACTGGGCAGGCTCACCACACCGGCCGCCTCTTTGTTCCGCAGGTACGTCACCAGGTGGCGCAGCAGGCGCACCTGCAATCCTGGCTCCAGACCCGGGGTCTGGCGGTCCACAGGGCCCTGCAGAGCCAGCAGGATGGCAAAGCCATTGGGGCGGCCCACCTTGATGCGGCGCGAAACCTCATCGAGCCGGGCCTGGTCCATGCGCAGCCGCTGGGCGATCTTTAACTGGCTCAGCTGATTCTTGCTCGGCTGCTTCAGGCTGTCCTTCATCACAGTGTTGAAGAAGGACACGCCCCCCTCCAGCAGGAACAGGTCTGTAGGAAAGCTGCTGTTCTTCAGGGTGAACAAGCCTCTCCACATCCTGGAGAGCATGCTCTGGGCAAACTCCAACAGCGTGCCGGGGGGTGAGGAGGCGTCTGTGTGGGCTGCAGGAGAAGCCGAGGCATTGGCCTCACTGTTCCGATGGTGGTGGTTGTTCAGCTGTTCGCTGGAGGCCCTCTTGCTGTGATGGTGGCTGGAGGGAGGATCTTCTTCGTTGGTGGACTGCCTTCCAGCTCCTCCGTTGTCAGGGGAATGGTCTCGGGGTTCTGTGGTGGAGTCGGGAGCACGGACCCGAGCTCGGTCCGGACTCGCTTCAGGAGAGACGGCTCCACCAACACCACGAACCCTTGACCTCCCCACCTCCTTCTCCTCCGTCTGCCTTTCTGCTGACAGACTACTGCTCCTCCTCCTGTTCCTCCTCTCCTCCCTCTCCTTCAGCCAACGTTCCCTGCTCTTGCTACGACTCCTTGCTGCTCTCCCACTCCTCCCAAACGCCTCCACCCCTCCGGACCTCCTCTCCAAGCTGCGGGTGGGGCTGCTGGGAAAGTCTCTCTCCAGCAGGGCCCTCTCCCTCAGGGAGAGCAGGCTGTGAGCAGGGGGAGAACGCTCCCTGGCCCCCCGTAGCTCCTGTTCAAGGCTGCGATGGCGGCTGTATGCCTCTCCAAGAAGGTCATAGTGGGAAGGGAGTGTAACGGGCGTCTGGTAACCAGGAGGAAATGGGCGCGACGGGCTCTCCTCCACCTTAGCAAAGTCCACCCTGAGCCGGTGCTCTGGGCCCCCCAGAGGGAAGCCCCTCATCTGGGTGCAGGCGGCCTGAGCTGCATCCAGACTCTCGTACTGGATGTAGGCAAAGCTGTCCCCCTTCACGTAGTCAATGTTCCGTATGCTGCCAAAGCGATCAAACTCTCGAGCCAGGGCAGCCAGTGGGTTCCCGGGCCCCAGCCCCCCCACCCAGAGGCGGGTGGTGGGGTTGGCTTTGCCGTAACCGATCTTTATGGGGTTCCCACCCATCAGCCGGCCCTGCATGGCCACTTTGGCACGGTGGGCCATGTCCAGGTTCTGAAACTTCACAAACGCATAAGCCCCGCCCTGTCCACGTGCCGGGCGTTTGATCACCACTTCCTCAATGATGCCATATTTATCAAACCCCCTCCGGAGCTCAGCTTCCGTCACGTTCCCATCCAGGTTACCGATGAACAGGTTACTGGTCGCCCGCTGGTCATCCTCCGGCTTCAAGTCCTCCACCACTGGCATGGGGGGCAGGCCGTAGGGCCGCCCCCTCTCATCCAGCATCCCATAGTAGTCCAGCAGCCGGTCCCGGTCTCTGCTCAGACCCAGGGTCTCCAGGGCGTAGTGTCTGGCTCTCAGTTCCCGGAGGTTGCTGACCCCGGGGACAGGGGGGGACAGGGAGCGCTGCCTGTACGGATAGGGGGCGTGGAGGGGTAAATAACCCACGTCCGGTGGGGTGACACTCCGCCTCCGTACGTACATGGGCTCTATCTTCAGCTGGCGCTCTCCCAGAACCAACCTGGAGGATTTGGCGTGCCTGGCCTCCTTGGCATCCTCCGGGTGTCGGAAGTTAACGTAGGCGATCCGGCCAAGCTCCGGTGTGTGCGACAGCTTCACGCTCACATCCCCGAACTTTTTAAATTCGTGAAACAGCGAGTCCTCCACGTCCTCGTCCGACACCTGCGAGCCCAGGTTACTGATGAGCAGCGTTTTATACTCCAGCGTGCCCGGCCGGGGGGCGGGGAGCTCTGCTGCCGAGGTGCGGAGCGGTGGACGGCCGAGGAGGCTGAGCTCATGTCGGTGGTGGAGCTCCAGGGCGGCCGCCCTCTCCTCCCTGAGCCGCGGCTTCTCGCGTTCCCGGCTCCGGCGGCGGTAGCTCCTGCTCTCGGCCAGTAAAAGCGCCAGCGGCGGCGGGGGCAGCTCCTCTCTGCGGCTGCTCTCCCGCTCCCGTGTCCGTTTAGCGATGGCCCTGGACGGACTGCTCTCCCTGCCGGCCTGCCGCTTCATTTTCTCTGGAGGACGGATCGGAAACTTTTCGGTGTCCGCAGCGGGATTCCGGGAGCGTTAGCGGGAGCGAGGCTACGGAGGACGGGCTCAGGGGGAAACGCGGTTCCACGGCATCCGCTGACGTTCGGCTCATTTACGGATAAAAACCAGAAAAGGTTTAAAAACAAAAACTGCATCAGTGGAGCTTCAGCAGCGCCGCCATCTTGGACAATAGGAATGTGCGCGTTCCCCGAGGACGGAGAACTCGATGACGCAAGCACGTCGCGCGTTACCGTCGCTTCACGTTTAAATCTTTATTTGTTTACATAAATAAGTTTATTATTGAAATGATGGAGAATATGCCCACATCATTTAGTCCTGATCTAGAATCCAGAAGTCCCAATCCAGCGCAAATCTCTTGTTAAATTGGTTTAGATGGAATATTCCTGGGACCAAAACATTTCCAGAGAAGTTTTTTTTTTAACTCTGACCTCTTAACAGTAGAAAAATGTTCCTAACTCAAGGGATGAGACAGAGAGGTGGTATCACCCACAGGACGTTAGGCGGCGTTCTTTTGGTTTAAAGGAATTTCTCAGAGAAGGAAAATATTTTTGCCACAAAATGAATTAGACGTAGATGGATTAATTCAGATTAACAATGGATTTGTGAGATTGATGTGGTCATCATGCCTCTGAGGTTTATTACTGAGGACCACTCCAGTGTCCAGTGGGACAGTCTTCTTTATCCACCAGGAGGTTGGAACATTGGTACACCTTCATTTATAAAGCAATGCTTGGATTACTACCCACCTACATCTGTAACTTAATCTCAAGAAGTGTAAGTCCTCAGTCTGGAAGAAGACGATCAGCTGTTACTTTGTGTTCTGTTTGCTCGCACCGATCTGGGCTAAAGGTCTTTTGTTCACTCTGCTCCTTCTGCATGGAACAGGCTGCAGGAAAACCGGGAATTAGTTTTTTTTCTCCTTGACTACATTTAAAACCAGACTGAGAACCCTTGAGAGGATTCTGTGTTGTAACTGCCTTCTGTAATCTAGTGCATAACATGTCTGTGGAGCTGAAACAACTTCTGCTGCCTCTGGGCCAGGACTGCCTTGGAAATGAGGTTTTTCATCTCAATGGGACCTTCCTGGTTAGATGAAGAATAAATCTGTTACTAACATCTAGATTTGGTCTAAAAAGATGTTCTGAGGAAATCCAAAGTTAATCTTGGATTAAGATTGGATGGAATTCTAGATTTCTCCTCTTCTGGGCAGAATGACAGGAAGGACCAGGGATCAGGTCTGAGCCGGACCTCCAGCCTCTCGGGATGATCCATACAAGCACCAGGGTTCTGGGCAAAGCTCGGTTCTCACAGAGGTGTACCCAAAATCCATCTACTGTTCCAAACCAATCCTAAACTTTCTAATCTGTCGGTGAATGCAGTGTCCTAACAAATAAAACCACTAACAGTTAATCCACATTAGCCAATCCCCATGAGGATCAGGGTTTCATCCTAGATCGGTATCGGCCCGGAGTCAAACCAACCCAAACAAACATCTCAGTTGAGTTTTCACATTTTAATGCAAAAGTAGAATTTACAGTTTTAACAGAAACACAAGTCCCACATTCATGATGGTGTTTGATCCATCAGACGGATGAGGAGTCCCTCAGAAACACGACTCTGTATTTTATCGCCTGTTGGCGAAGCTGCTACAGGACTCAGATGGGTTCAGAGTACATGACATAAGTCTGAAAACATCTGTAAGTAGTTCACCTAAAGAAGCCGCCACCATTTGATTTGGTTCTAAACGGTTTTAGGAAATAAGAGTTTAATAAATAAAAACCTTTCAAATCGCCCAGCAGTTATTTCTACCGGAGATCCAAGCTGAAATAATGGAAACTCCTATTTGATCAAACTTAAGGAATTACATTTTATTCTGAAAAGGCAGGAATCGTTTCAAAACAAAAGCCTTTAAAGGACAAAGTTTACTAAATGATCTGCTGTGGGTTTGTTTTTGTTTAAATAAATGGTTTCATCGGTGGAAACTGGATTCTTGTTGCTGAACAGGGCAAGTCTGACGCTTTGGAGCTAAAAAAACAGCTGACATGGGAGTCTGAAGCTTCAGGACCAGCTTCCTGTGGGCGGGGCTTACCAGATCCAAATCACAGCTGATCCTGATGAGAATCCAAAGCGGGTTCAGAAAGGATCCACACACACACACACACACACACACACACACACACACACACACACACACACACACACACACACACACACACACACACACACACACACACACTAAATGTACAGTAGAAACTGTCAGCTTTGTGTGCAAACATCTGACTCTGGCAGTCACCACGGAGACCAACACGCCCCTCCCCAGGATCAGTGCGTTTAGCCGGGTGTGTCGCTACAGGTCTGTCCGTGCCTGAGCCGCAGCTGGAGCGTACTTGGGCATCAGCTCGGTGATTTTACGGATGAAGTCCGACTTTTCGGCGCAGCCTTTACACGACTCGCCCCACTCCTCCAGGATCTTCTTCAGGTCTTTCACTTTAAGCTTCTTCAGGTCCACAGAGGTCAGGTCCAGCTGTTTGTCTGTAAGAGAAGACACAAATCTAAAACGTTCAGGTTGGTGCTCCAGAGCTGTCGTAGCAGCAATCTTCTCCCTCAGACCCTTCTCTCACCATATCTCAGCTCACAGATCTGACTGTCCTTCTTCTTGAGTTTCTCACAGATCTTCTCCACTGGAACGTGGTAGCTGAGCGGTTTGGACACCTCGTTGATGATCTTGGTGGCTGCATCACTTGTTGCTCCGATGTAGTAACACTAGGCAGAGAAGCAGCAGCCTTTTAACTCACAATACTCACAAATGTATTCATGTTTGATACCAAAGATTTAAATTCTGGTTTTACTTCACTCTGATGACAAACTGAGCATCAAAGTGTGTCCGAACATCCCCGGATGTGTGGTGCACTCACAAAGCGGTTGTCCTTTCCTCTGGCATCTTTGCAGCTTTTTAGCAGCGCCTCCTCGATGTCGGCGTTGTTGAAGTCCGCGTTGCTGTCCTTCAGCGACTGATAAAACTTCCCCAAGAAAGAGACGCACACTGAAAGACACGACACACCCAACATGTTCAGCTACTCAACAACATCAGCACATTTCTGTCAGAATGAATTACTCCTGATGGTACTCCAACTACATGTTGCTCTAAGCAGAACGTGTCAGACATCTTTTGATCAGCTGGAAAACACCTCCTCTGAAGGACCAGACCATGAGCCACCTCTCCATCGTGCTACAGCACTAGAACATTTCTGCTTCACTGATAAATCCGCTGACAGCCGTTTGTGAGGAGCAAAAGCTTCGATGGAAGTTTGTGGAACCTGCAGATGTCCTGTTTCGTGTCTTTATGAAGCAGAAACCTCTGCAGCCTTTACCCTCCAGAAGTAGCCGCTGACTGCGGAGAGCGGCTGGATCCGTTACAAGGCGCTGCTCTGACTTCCACCCGAGTTTTGGGTCTCCATCGGTCTTTGTCAGACACGTGACCTGCATGACACCCTTGGTGCCATTTTAGGTGTGTGACTCGTGTTGCCAGGGAGCTGCAGCCGGAGTTGAAGCAGAACAAGAGTCACAAGATGGATAAAAGGAACAAGGACAAACACATTCCTTACGGGAATAACCTTGAGAAGATAGCATGGTACCTTCACACAACAGGACTGGACCACTTTCTGCAGGTTTATAAGCAGCCAACACTTCCTTTGTTTATACACCTAGCCATCCCATCAAGCAACACGCTACAGCACTCTATACGTCACCTGACAAGGACCGGTTAGGACCCCCCCCACCCCACCCCACGGCATCTTCCTTTAATGGACCAGGTGTTATGTTAAGAGACCCATCTACAACTCATCCCCAAAACACCCTCCATTCCTTCTGGTCCAGTTCTAATGAGACCACTTGAGAGGTGGGACCATCTGCAGCTGCAGGCCCAGACAGACTGGTTCTGTGATCAGAAACAGTTGGAACTTCTGCTGGTTCACAGCAACACGGGGCACCGTTCAGCCCGTTCTGGATCACTCGTATCTTTGGTTTCCCTGGTACTGGGAACCTCAGGCGCTGCCAGAAACCTTAAACATGTCCTCCAGGTGCTGGTTGTCTCCAGACCTTCATGTGAACGAATGTAGCCATCAGGGGTTAGTTACAGGTAAGGCCTAGCAGAGTTTTCTAGTTGTTAGGTCACGTTTCCATCAGAGGTCGGGGGTTAGGGTTTGTCTGTTCCTCTGGTCCCTCTCCTGCTTCTGCCGTGGTGATGGTAAATGGCCTGTATTTGATATAGCGCCTTCTAGAGTCCTGGAACCCCCCAAGGCGCTTTACAACACAACCAGTCATTCACCCATTCACACACTGGTGGGGATGAGCTAGGAGAGGCGAGGCTGCCGAGCACAGGCGCCACCGGTCCGTCCGACCACCACCAGCAGGCAAGGTGGGTTAAGGGTCTTGCCCAAGGACACAACGACGGTGACAGACTGAGCGGGGCTCGAACCTGCAACCGTCGCCCATGGAAGCAGACATCTGAAAACTTTCGCTCGCTTCACAGCTTAGTTTGGTGTTTATGAGGAATCCTGACAAGCACCAGCATCACTTCCTGCTACATAAGCACGTGTCAGACCACGTCGGCGGCGGTTAGGCTGAACGTTTTCAGCCTCGGAGCCTCTTCGGTCGGCTGCAGCTAGCCTAAGCTAACGCCCGGTCCTACCTTCACATTCTCCCTCCTTCAGGGCTTCCGCGGCTCCCGGAAGCAGAGTGAGCGCGAGAGCCACCGATAGCCCAATTAAACGCAACATTTCGACCTAAATGAAACCAGAAAAGCGTCCGGCCCGCCACTCTCATGCGCTTCTGCTGCCTCAGCCTCAACAGACGCCGGTAAACCGGGTGAGAGCCGAGTCTCTGCTCAGTCACCGCCTGATTGGTCAGTAAGTCACAAACCTCCACGAGCTTCCCTGTGATTGGAGAGATAAGTGACGTTCCGGGTACAGCGTCCAGTTGGCGCTGTTTGATTGGTCCACAGATCCCAAAACGCCTCATGACGCAAACAACAAAACGTTCAGCGTCGCGAGCTCATCTACGTGACTCTCGTTACCGCCCTACGGTTTCTGATGGTTCCGCTGAGAGAAAGAGAACACATCTGAACGTAACACCGGTGTCGTTGCCAAGAACATACATCTACAGCACACCAGAACTACTAGCACGCGCATGTTCTCCTCCAACTGATGTGTACTTCCGGTCTGGTTCAGGCGCATCTGAGATGTTTTTCCAATTTACAAGACATTCATTCCTACGAGAGACCGGTGCAATTAAATGAGCGTTCAACACAAAAAAGCTGCTTGCTTACAGGAACTACAAATCAGATGTCATATATGACGTCACTGCAGAATGTGAGAGCATCACTTCCGAGTGATAACTGGCTTGTGTTGACAACTAAAAAGGTCCTCAGCGTACAGGCCACATCATGTATGAGCAGCAGAAATCCAACATGTGTGGTTTTCAGGAAAAACCCAAAAGCAGTAGGCTAATCCTGTCACTCAGGGCAGTGCCATCCCTCCATCCTTCCTCTGAACCATGTTCCCAACCGGATGAGAACATAGATACATCATGCCTTATTACCACTGTGCAGGCTGGTGGGGGTGGTATAATGGTGTGGGGGACGTTTCCTTTACATACTTTAGGCCCCTAAGTGCCAACTGGGCATGGTTTAAATGCCATGGACTACCTGAGCATTGTTTCTGACCATGTCCATCCCCTCATGACCACCGTGTACCTATCCTCTGATGGCTACTTCCAGCAGGATAATGCACCATGTCATAAAGCTCCAATCATTTCAAAATGGTTTCTTGAACATGACAATGAGTTCACTGTACTACAACGGCCCCCACAGTCACTAGATCTCAACCCAATAGAGCATCTTTGGGATGAGGTGGAACGGGAGCTTCGTGCCCTGGATGTGCATTCCACAAATCTCCCATCAGCTGCAAGATGCTATCCTATCAATATGGGCCAACATTTCTAAAGAAGGCTTTAGGCACTTTGTTGAATCTATGCAGTGTAGAATTAAGGCAGCTCTGAAGGAGAAAGGGGTCAAACACCAAATTAGTGTGGTGTTCATAAATCTTTAGGGGACTGTATTTTATTTATACATCATTTATGTTGATATATTATCTTTTTTCTTGCTTAGATGTTTTTATGCATCATGTGATGGACAAAACAAGCTTCAGTTTCAACTCATTCCAAGTTTGATTGATCTTCATCACGCATAATTACACTACTAATCGGAAGATCTTGTTAGTCCTTCACACACGGGTGGTGATGAGCTACGTCAGAAGCCACTGGTTCAGGGGGAGACATATATGCATGTGGAATTCTTCAGAATCATGAAAACTAAACAAAAGTTAAGAGTAAAAGTGTTCTGAGACATTCAGGAAGTGGGAATTGGTATGGACCCTTAAACCCAGCATGTTGCGTCGGCTCAAGCCATCAGCGGGACAGAGACCCACGTGTGCTTTGACTCCAGCGGATGAATCCTCAGACGTTGGTCTTCTGCTCCAGGTTAAAACAAGCATTAAAGACTCTGCTTCTGGATTAACAAACTCAAACACAATCCAGGAATTTGTTTTTGAATCACAGGAAAAAAGACAAATGTCTCCCCAAAAGCATTTTTCTTGTTTATTGAGTGAAATCCAGACAGGTGACCTTTGGGGTCACGACATCACACACAGGGTCACGTTAGAATCACGAGGCTGCTCCTCACACACCAACAGCTTTGGCAACTTCATCTGTAAACTTAACATTTCAAAACAAACCAACTGATTCAGCACAGAGATCAGACCTAAACAAACGTGGAGAAGCGTTTGACATGAATGCGCTTTGCTTCAACTCAAGAGCAGAGGAGCCACTTTAACCTTCACGCTCGACTCGTTCCACAGAAACTATCCTTGTTCTCTGATATGATTGCTTTTATTTAGGTGTACATCATCTCAGCCATGTGTGACATCTTCTTAGGGATGTAGAGATAATACTCCATGTAACCAGAAAGGTCCTCTATCGTGATGTCGTCCACGAAGGCTCTCGCCTGCTCGGAGCACGACCGCGGCGAGCTTGACGATGACGCTGCAGCAGCTTGACTGCTCAGAGTTCTGGGAGCTATCTCGTGGCTCGACAGTGCCCCCTCACACTCGGAGATCACGTTGCGGAGCCCAGTGAAGGAGTAAACCTCCACCCCATTCCAGCCACGATGATGCGACCTGCAGCTGAACTGCATTCCGACCTCCTCTCCCGTTTCCTCCTGGGAATCTGAGGGAGCGCTCAGGCTGCAGGAGCAGGGCCTGTGGGGACACTCCGAGGAGCTGCGACTGTGGAGCTCGGATAAAGATCTGAAGTCAGCAGCTTTGGACCTCAGAGGTGCTGCAGCTGCAGATTCGGCTCCATCACAGGAACCGCCCTCCTCACCTGACTGGACTTCTCCAGAGCTTTCTCTGTCCCACCTGGGACACGTCGCTGCTGTAGTGACCTCTGGTAAAGAGGATAAAGATGCCACACCCCCACCTGGTGCTTCATAACTGGGACCAACTCCAAACACGAGGGGGGAGCCGCAGCTGGGTGTGGCTGAGGAGCGCAGCTCCGTCTGTGCTGGTGGGACCACAGAGGAGGCAGATGATTCATCTGCTGCAGGATGAGGTTCTGCAGGCTTGGACAGGTACAGGCGCTGATGCTTCAGGCAGCCAGCGGGGGCCGACAGAGCCGAGGACATGCTACTGCAGTAGGTGAATTTTGGGGGGTGAAGGATGGGGGACTTGGACCTCCGACGTCTCTGGCTTCTAGACGATGTTCCTCTGGAAGTTTTCCTGACACAGCTGAAGACAGAAGACAACAAGATGATGGTACAATACAAAAAACACAGTTTATCTAGTATGTTAAAGACACTGGGGGTTGCAAAGGAAGTGAACCTGCAGCAGACAACCCTCTCTAGCCTCCCCTAATGTTTTTGAGTTTTTGCTCATTCTTAGTCAAGACAGGAACTAAAAACCGACAGATCAGAAGTCAGCTTACTTCTTCTTGTCTTAGTTCATCTGAAAACAAGCTCTCAGCTGCCGTCAGGTTACCGGACCTACCAGTGCCAGTTGTCCTTGGTGCAGCCGAGTTTAGCTTTGGCTCCGCTGCCGTCCAGACAAACTCGGGACGCTGCTCTGGGAGTTAACGCCTCAGGGACACTCACAGCTCCTGGTAAACTGAATGGAAAACAAAACATTCAGGAATAATTCAGAGGCGAAAGACTTGAAATGTTCCAGACGCACTCAAAAGAGCTGGCATGGAGAACATCAGCTACGTTCTGCTCCTGAGATTAAGCAGTGGATGCAGAACTAAAAACCTTCAAAGTGTCTGATCTGGCAGTCTGGCAATAAAACAGCCAGTCTGACATGTGAGAGCATCCTGTCACATTCTTCCCTTAAACCTAACCCTAACCCTACGAAAAGGACAAAACATTCATTCATGGCTTTATTATTCATGTGACCGATGTGAAGCACTTTGTGATTTTCTGTCTGTGAACACCGAGGGTGAATATTATCATATATTACAGATAGGGCTGGGCGATGGGCCTAAAATAAATATCACGATAAATTGAGGATTTCACCTCGATAATGTTGTGATTATACTTTGATTAGCTTATCACAAATAAAGTACTTTGATTAATCAATGAAAAGCGTTCTTCTTCTGTTCTTCTGTCTCCTCTCCTGGAATGTAAACATACTGAACCAAGCGTCCGACCTTGGCGATGTTACTGTGTGAAGGGGCAGCTGTTAAGGGCAGACCATTATAAACTTCCTAACTCTACAATAACGATAAACGGCCAATAACAGGTATGCACATAAACAAAAGTGGTCCACTAGATCAAGCAGGCCTCCACAGCGAAACTACAGAAGGTCCAAAATGCGGCAGCCAGGTTACTGACTGGTACCAGGAGATCTGAACATATCATGCCCGTCTTGGCATCCCTACACTGGCTTCCAGTCTCCTTCTAGAATTTCGTTTAAAGTTCAGGGGCCTCATTTATCAAGCTTGCTTACGCACAAAACGGGGTCGGAAAACTGCGTAAGCAACTGTCCACGCAAACTTTGGGATTTATGAAAGAAAACTTAGCAGAAAACTGTGCGCAACTTTAAGTTGACTAAGGATCTGGCTTACACACATGTTGGACATGGAGAGCACCTGCAGTGCTGCTGCTGAGAAGGATAAAAGGATGTAATCCTGCAGCATTATCACTTGTACCACTTCATTTTCACACAGAACAAGACCCCCCACATGCACGCACTTGTACACACACATGCACACACACTCTTCTCTCACACGCACGCACACACACACGCACTCACACACACACATCCTGAAGAGCAGAATATGGAATGCAGAATATCAGCAGGGGGACAGATTGAGACAGAACGTCATGTGTCTGTGACAGTGTGTGTGTCCCGTCACTGTGACCCGATTGATCATGCACCCTGGTTACTTGTACAGAGGGGATCTCCGTTTGGGTGACTGGTTAGCGTGCGTGACTTTCACCCAGGAATCAGGGGATCGAATCCCGATTGGACCTTTTTTTTTTTATATCTGCCACAGATCTCTCTGAAGAACTCCGCATTGACGGCTTCAGCAACGCTGTGCCACTCCGTGGATTTTTTCTTATTTGTTTTGCAAAAGCACTTCCTTTCATTTCTCCACCTCACCCACAGGTACCTCAATCTCTGCTTATGTGAAATTGCGCTTCCTTGATCTGCCTTGATCTACGGTCGCCATGTCTTTGGCGGAGCGCTGCAACAGCCGGCTTATGTATATGCATGAGATCCACAAGGCACTTTGCATTGACTATTTATGGCAGTAAGTGGACGTGGTGAGGGCGGGATGTGACTAAAATGCAGCTGAGAAACATTCTCGTTAGTCTCTGATTTATGAAACGGAGATTGCGTGCAGCTGTGCGTACTCATGTTTGATAAATCACAAACCTACTTGGCGTGAGTACATTTTTTTTGCTGAGCTTAAGTACAGTTTTAGTAAGGATTCTACGCAATGTTTGATAAATGAGACCCCTGGTGTTTGTTTTTAAATGTTTAAATGAGTTGGCTCCACGATATCTATCTGATCTGATCCATCCTTATGTTCCCTCAAGGAACCTTCGGTCAGCACAGAAAGGACTGCTGGTCATTCCCAAACACAGACTGGAATCTCAGGGGGGTCGTGCTTTCTCGGTGCTGGGGCCGAGACTCTGGAATGAGCTACCTACATGTGTCAAACAGGCCACCACGCTTGGCAATTTTAAGAGCCGTCTGAAAACGCACTTTTATTCTTTGGCTTTTACTCAAGGAGTCTCGTTAATGGGTGGCTTTGCACTTTTTGCTTCCCCACCTAGATTTTATCTACATGTTTTTGTTGGTTTTTAAATGGTTTTATGTTTTTATTTCTTTATGTTCATTTCAGTTGTGCAGCGCTTTGTTTGGTCCTTGGGCCATGTGAAGGCGCTATATAAATAAAGTTTAGTAGTAGTAGTAGCAGTAGATGGGGCTGTCATGTGTGTTACGTTGGCCTTGTTCGAGTTGAGCAACGCCTCGCCTGGAAAACAGAAGAGAGCAGACGAACACAGCAAGGGGAGTGGCTGAAAGCCGGCGTTTAAGTTGGACAGATTTCCCTGCATATGTAGCTCGCGGGTGATGATGGATAAAGATATCGCATTAGCGTTCATACTTGTTTAATTTTTTATTTTAATTCTGGTGCCTGTTAGCAACCAAAACACATCCTCACGTGCTTGTGGATATCATATATGTTGTATATGGAGACATGACTGTAATAATAAGTAAAGGTTATCAGCTGTAGGTTTAGTGTGTTTATAGGAAACGTGAGAAAATAACACAAAACACATTTCTCTTTATGGCCTATATTGTTGTCATCATCAACGTAACATGATTTACAGAATACATGTGACCAACTAACATTTCATGTTCTACCACCGGATGTTTGGATCAAAATGGGAACCAATCAGATCTTAGATCAGGTGAGAGCCAGGCGTTTCCCATCATCCCCTAGGTTTTGCAGCCGATGGAGAGCAACTGCAGCGCCTTGCTCCAAAATCTGCGGCCGCCTTGATCTCACGAGGTTATCGTTGCCTACGTATGCATGACGTCTGAGCAAGTCGGTGTCAAGTCGGACACAAATCTAACCGGCATGCACTGCTCGCCGATCACCGGTGATCTAATCTGCGCAGAACTGGCTCATCTCGAACACAGCCGTTGTCACATGACTCGAGGTGATACAGCTTCTTAAAGGGACATGAATGTCGCCAACCTACAAACATCTTTTCACTTCTTTTATTTTCTAATTTACTGACCTGGGAAATAAGATGTCAGTTAAAGTCAGAACATTCGATAAAGATACAGTTTGGATTTACTGCCCAGCCCTAATTAGAGAGGAGAAACTTACAACACTGACAGGTCTGTTTATGGCTGACAAAGCTCTGCCTGTAATGGCTGACTGACTCTGGAGTAATCTTCACCCTCCGATGAAGATATTCACTCATCTAGAAGAAGGTGCTGAGCAGCAGCAACAGTCTGTGTGCTTCATGAGAGGAAAGCTTCACACTTCATCACTCTGTGGTTGGCTCTGTTATCCACTCTGCTGGTCTGTCGGGGTGCAGGCGGCTCTGACCAAGACAGGAAGAGACTGAAAAGCTAGTTCACAAAGCTAGCTCGGTTCTGGGCTGCCCACTGGATTCAGTCGAGGAGACGTGTGAAAGGAGGATGCTGGGGAAGATGACCTCCATCTTTAGGAGGATGGAGGTTACTGCTCAGCTTGGCTCCAGAGGAATAAAGACAAAGACCCAGGTTAGAAATCTTGGTGTCATGACCGATTCAGACCTCATTAGTAGGGCTGCTCAATTAATCGAATTTTAATCACGATTACGATCTGAGTTTTGAACGATTATAAAAAACAAAACAAGCCGATTATTTGCTCCTCCCGCTTGCGCTGCCCCGAGTTGCAAATGAAGCGCTCCTCACAGTGTTGCCAACTTTGCAACTTTGACGCTATTTCTAGCAGCTTTTCAGACCCCCTTCTTGACTTTTTAACTTAAAAGTACCTAGCGAACACCTCAGAAACATCTCTGGTAACCCTTAGCTACTTTCTGGATAACTGTCGTCGACATTTCCTGCAGGTTAGCTAAACACTCCGCCTGCACTCCGGACCGTTCTTCAGGACATTAGGAAAGGGAATGATGCAGTGATGTGTCAGTCGCTAAAGACAGCTCTCGGAGCCGTCTCCCTGTTGGATTAACCAGAGTGAGTGACACACACACCGCACCTGCGGACTCCTGAGCCACTAAAAACGGCTAAATGTGCGTGTGCGGCGCGCTAAACACACGTGCAGCTTGCCCCGATTGACCGGGTTGGGGGGTGGGGGGTGCAGCTGTGGTTGGGACAATTATTACATTAACTGATGGACTTGTAAATAAATAGTTTATAATTAAGGTAGAAATAAGTTCCTCATGCTGATAAATAATAACTAATCTCTCTGAGGACACGGTGTTAGTGTACCCTCCTACAGCACATTGACACGACTCAATAAATGTTATGCAACATTTTGTGAACATCAATTTATTTGCATGTATTTGTTATAAATGCCACTGTATAATTCTTGCTGTCAGTATTTGCAAGATATTGGTATTTGGGTCTGTACTGGTTAGACTTAAATGAGTTAAACCAAGGTCTATAGCCCTTGGGTCATAAACTAGGAGCTATAAGTATATTGGTCTTTTTATACTGGGAATAAGGGGTTCTTTTAGTGATCATCTTGTTTCTTATTTTTGTCCTGATTGTGCCCTGAGCAATTTTATGACTGAATAAAAACAAATAAAATCAACATAAATTGAAAAATCGTCCTAAATAATCGTGATCTCAATTTCAGTCACCATAATCGTGATTATTATTTTCGCCATAATCGAGCAGCCCTACTCATTAGTCACATTAAGGCTATAACTAGATCAGCGTTTTATCTTCTGCATCAGACCTAGATAAACTCATTCATGTCTTCTGGACTATTGCAATAGTCTTTTGGCTGGTCTTTCCAAATCAGCTGTGAAGCAACTGCAGCTTATTCAGAATGCTGCTGGGGGGGGGGGGCAGCAGTAGCTCAACAGGTTGAGCGGGTTGTCCAGTAATCGGAAGGTTGCAGGTTCGATCCCGGCTCC